AGATCTGCAAGTCCTACCTCCTGTAAAAATTTTGGCAAAATGTTCCTTGCATAAAAAAATTAATTGCATGTAAATTTTGATAAACCTGAGACAATCAAATTACTTGGTACTGATTTTACTTTCAACCTCCATTTTTAAGCTTTCTAATTAAACTTTGAACTTAAATGGCAAAACTGAAAGTCCTGGTATTAAAAAATAACAACTTGACAGTTCCCTGCTCCAATCAGGAGTGATGAGGGCTGACCAAGCATTCACACACAGTCACTGAGAGACAGGTCTGTGAATATTACAAGTTTTCCTCCAACACAGTTTTCTGCTCCCACAGTAGAACAAAGCTTAAAAATCAGCTCTGAGTGTGTTCTTCCTGACATCCCAAACTTGAGCTTCTCTTAAGACACACGCTTCCCTTCCCTTCCACCTATACAACTTTTGATACTGTTTATACTAAATTTTAGCTTCCAGATATCAGATTTTCACTGGAATGAAGATGTAATTTGCGAAATTAAATAGAAAATACTTTCCCAACATTTAACAAAAGCTCTACCACACACCGATTGAAAACAAGGTATTTCCAAAATCAGGTACAACCAAACATTTGCTTTAGGTACCAGAACCTTTCTTCCTGTTACACAAAATTATTTAATAACTGCACTTATAGCCACATAGGTTGCCTAATTTAATTTTATATTATGTAAAACTGAATATGCTGTTCTGAACTGTAATCAATGCGTTTAGCAACCCATAGGTGCCTTCAGGATTGTAAGGAACTTTGTCCCTGTTTAAAATAAGAAACCATAATAGCTAAAAGAATAACCTAGTATTATTGTTATGTTAAATTAGTCAATATCAATTACTATGCAAAGCCTTGTATGTAATTCAGAGGAGAATAAAAAGCATTTTGCTTTCAGAACACACCCTCTGGAGCAGAGATAAAGCTTCATTGATAATGTATGGCTGCAAGGCTTGTACATAAATCTTTGGTCAGAGATCAAAGCCAACCAGTTCCACCAATATTTAATTGGGGTTGGCAGCGGTGGGGAATCAGTCCCAGCATATTCCATTCCCAAATTCCAAGAATTTTAACTGACACAAATGTTTATGATTACAATTCTGAAATTGTTCTTCATATAAGGAATATTTGTTTGTTACAAATATCATACAGACCTCATTGACTGAGTGTCCTGCAAAACAATTTTTAATTGCAAATGTTTAAAATTCTGACTCTCTATAGCCTGTCCCTTTTTCTCTTTGATAGCTGGATAGAAGAGCAGTTCAGGTGAATTTAAAAAAAGGAAAATGCCATCCAAAACATTCCTTAAAGGATCACTTCTGACAGCTTTTAGTTCATTCAACAAGCAGATTTCCTCTCCTTGGCAGAGAGCGTATTTTACCCCATGAATCTCTTGCCTGCTACAAAAACAGTGTTTGTTTATTCAGTGCAACTCAGTGAAAGGTGTACTTTGCAGAAAACCCAAAGTAAAATTAGCTTGCACTCAGCTTTTAATTAAATCTTATATATTAGACATCTAAAAAGTGAGCCTTCCCCAATTTAAAGCCGCAGGATGATGTTAATTAAACATTATTACAAAATCCACCCAGAAACCTCAGACTGTACAAATGCTGTGCTCTGAGAGGAAAGAGTTAATTAAGTTGCCAATTTAAGATTATGAGGAAGGAAAGCATAGCATGTCTTCTTCAGGTTGGTTCATATCCTGTACAATAATTCACTTTCAAGTGCTTGTAACTCTATCGCTTTGTAGCTTTTGGGCCGAATTTTCTAAGCAGGGTGAATTACTTTAAAAGTTCAACGTTTTCTCTCACATCTCTTCTTTTGAAAGATTTTCAAAAGAGCCTGTAGCATCCCTCAGGCTTCTTGCCCTGGGCATTCAGAAGCAGTCTGTCTGAGAAGGATAAAGCCTTCACCATTCCTCTACCATCAGTCCAAATTTAACCAGGCAGACCTCAAGACAGTTCAACTCGTACGAAACCTCAAATATGGTTATCACATCTATGTCCAAAATCTACTGCAAGCACTATCACTGAAGCAGCTGAATATTCCTCAGATGAATACTTAATAACCTGTTTTCAGCTTTTCTCTTTCTGGATATCAGTCCTCAAAGACAGCTATAAGAAAAATATCTCACAAGGTAGTACTGCTTAGTTAAATAAAATCTTACTTCTCAAGACACGGCTCAGTTGTTTCATTGTGCAATCTCAAATGGATCAGAACTCTGGAATGAGACTCCCTTGGAGAACAGGGTCTTATTTTAAGGTGAAATACAACATCACAGACACAGCTCCCATTTGTTCTGGCTGCTTCAGCTGTCTGGGTGATGCAACACTGATGACATATCCCACACTGTGTATCAAGGGCCTGCTGCTGAACATATTTATTAGTGTTGCACAGCTTTTCACACTCACATTTAAGTAGGTGAGTCCACACTGATGATGTGCTGCTCTCACCTGCATTTCTAGAATTCTGGAATCACATCACAATCATTGCAGTAAGGAGCTGAGAAACATTTTTATTTCCTCCCCCCAGCTAAATGTGGAAGCACATAATTATCTTGTCCACAAAGGGTGAGCTGTGGAAATAAAGCAACAATCTGTACTTCTGTGGCTCCACTCCTACTGGCAAAACCAAGAAAGCATTTCAGCTTTTTCTTATAATGCCAAGATGGCCATAAAAAAAAAAAAATCTATACCCACATCTGGTATTTGGCTGCATAAGGGTGAAACATTCATCCTTGAATCTGCAGCTGAAATTCCTTTATATGCTCACTTTCCCTGTGGCCTTCCAAACAGAGGTGTCCATGACCAGTGTTCCTCTAGAGGGAATTTGCAATTAAAAACTTAATTTTATGGCAAGTCTGATGCTCCACATCTTCCAAAGAGCATTTTGAGGGAGTGTGGCAGCTGCTGGCTCTCCCCACCAGGAGTGAAGAAGCCCCCACTCCTCCTTTTACCATGAGAGGGAATGGTCCTCCTGAGGAATCCCTGCCCTGCACATGCCATGATCACCATTTCCATCTGCAGACTTCTAGGTAGGCTTTCCAATGTGTTTGAAACCAAGAGCAGCACTACTCCCTTACAGAATCTTATTGCACAAGTATTCCTTTCAGGAATTGTAACCTGTAACTGATAAGCTTAAAAGAGTAAGTTAAACAAGCAATTTAAGTCACTTCTGTTCCAAGCTTTCCAATGTGTTTGAAACCAAGAGCAGCACTACTCCCTTACAGAATCTTATTGCACAAGTATTCCTTTCAGGAATTGTAACCTTGTAAGCTTAAAACAGTAAGTTAAACAGGCAATTTAAGTGACTTCTGTTCCAGATGACTCTTATATTACTAAAAACGCCTTGGGAAGAAAATGGAAGAAATAAATCTATTCAGGTCTTAGCAGAGATTACAGGTTTTATCAAGTGAGAAAACTTGGACTCAGCTATCAATCCTCCAAAGTGGATCCAGATTTATCCCAATTCTATGTTCAAGGCAATGTTTTTCTTTTTGCCACTTTTTTAAACCTCACAAAATTAATTTTAGACGGAGTGCACCAGTGGGAATTGGCTATTCCTTTGGAGAATTAAAAATGGCTTGGGGACATTCCTTATGTCACTAATAAGAACTGGTATCACATGAAACCAGGTCACAACACATGCTTAACTACAGCAGGTCATAGTAAAGAACATTTCTTTCTAAATAGAAAATAATTATATATTTCACTTCAAACTATCAAGTCAAGCCCAAAGGTTATTCCAATGCATAAGTTAGACAAGAAGCTGCTACTTATTAGGAAAAACATCTGTAACTGAATAAAATTTAAAAACTGTTTCCCAATATCTAGCTTGGGATTTTTACAACCAGCAAGAAAACAATTTGATGCTGGCTTCATGTTTCAAAAATTATGGCATACAGGTAAAAAGCATCAGCATAAGAAGCATTTCAGAACTACATATCAAGTCTCTATATTGTCCATGTAAACAAGGTGGGAAAGCTCCATGGTTCATCATATTACATAATGCTTGGTTTCCTTTTTGTGCCTTGGTGTTTGTGCCAAACACTACAGGGCATTAAAGTCTGGTCTCCCACAGTGAAGTATTTTTTTCTGTTTCTGAAGCAAGCATGTAAAATTCAACAAATTAATCCTGAAAAAGTTAACAGCCCAGCAGAGTAAAGGAAGTATCAACATTCAGGAACAGAAATTGCAGTTTAATAGGCCTTAACGACCACAAGAGCTCATCTTAAATTCAGGTATAAGAGCAACTTATTATCTGCAAAAACACAAAGAATTGGATACACAGTTCCTTAATTTTTTGTGATTACCAATATCTCATGAAACAAAAGCTACATTAAAAACAGCACACTTAACCATTTTAATGTCTGTTTAGTTTAACAGACACTAAATAACACTAAATAGCACAAAACTCTAAATTAACACTAAATTAGCTTGACAACAAAACCAACAGATACTAAACGCATTTATCTAGTTTTTAGATACATAGAAATATAATTTACTAATAATTATTCCAGAAGGCTGAGTCAGTTATAACAGCCTAGTTTCTCTTGTCACATTGGTGTATATTAAATGCAGCAATGTCTCTGTATTTTACCATGTTCCAAACTCTAAGCTCTATATTTTTCTCACAGAGGTTTGTCATTTATAGCTTCTCATAAATGAAAAGCCATCATTACTAGAACAGTCAAGTATTTAGTATTTAGGAGGGCTAGCAGGCATAACAATGGAAGTACTTCTCCAGAAGTAATTGTATCTGTACAACACGTGGCAAAATAGTTTCCTAGAAAACTGATACTGGATGTAAAACCTGCAGTGTTTGTGAGCTTTAAGAGGTATTCTCTTTTTGAGGTTCTGTCCTGCCACATACAGAGTGCTCAGAATCCTCTTGGGTTGTAAATTCTCCACTGAAGTACTCAGAGTTTCCTGAATGCTTAAAAGATGGTGTTTAGCTTGTGCAATTACTGGAGAAATAGGCTACAGCTTACCTAAGTAGGGAATACAGGGAGTCATCTTCAAGCTGCTGATATAGTCTCTGAGCCTTTTGTAATTATCTTCTTTACTCATAACATATTCCAGCTTGTCGAAGGTGGCTTTATCCTTCCGACTCAGTAACTAGGCAAAGGAAAAAGAAGGCAAAACCAGATGAGTTTAAGTTTGATCATTCTGATTTTGATTTCCTCTTTTACCCTTACAAGCACAGATTTCCACTTCCCTATTGCTGTTGCTGTTGTTGATGTGCTGGTTTTTTCTGGCTTTTTTTTTTTTTTTTTTTTTTTTTTTTTTTTTTTTTTTTTTTTTTAGCTCAACTGCTTCAAAATTACATCATTTACTCCTTAGAGAGGAGCACTTAGAAAGTTTATAAAGAAAAGCAACAATTCTGGGTGTCAAATATAATAATACTTCTAAAAATCAAGCAGGTAAAAATGCTGGTGTCCTGGAGGATCCTTCTGAAACAGTGTAAGTTACCAAAAAACTAATCAAGCTAACACACATCACAGCTTCATGTGCAGTTCACATCACCAGTATTCATGCCAGTAACATTTTCACTCTGATTATCCGTAAGTGTGCTGGCTTGGAATGGGATGGAGTAAATTCTCTCCACTGTGGCTAGTATGGGCTGTATCTTCCATTTGAGGAAGGATTTTATCTATGGTTTTTTACAGAAGGCTCATGGACTTGTACTCGTCTGCCAATTGGCCATTTTACTGGCTCTTAATATCACAGAAATGCCCACTTTGAACAGAAAACTTTAAAGTCATGGCTCTCCTTCATTATCCATTCCTCCTGCCTCCAATCCCTTCCTTTGACAGAATTAACAGCAACCAGGCTCTCTCTGAAAGACAGAGAAAAAAAGTCAAGATATTTTCCAAACATCTTGCTGAACTGCTGCTGCAAAATTGCCTCAAAGTCTTCACTTGAACTCAGAGTCAGAATTTAACAAAGGGTGCAAGATGTTCCCACCAAACATTTTGGCAGGAGATTCAGCGTTCCAAGTACCAGTCACAATTTTTCCCCACAATGCAATTACAAGGGTTGGATCACTGAATTTCTACACATACTCCCTTTTCACTTCAGTTAAAGATCAACCTAGGTGAGCCTGACAGAGGTGAAGTCTCCCTTGTGTAAATTCACTGTTGAAATAGTTTATTTTTACTTCCATTTCCTATATCCAACTCTTTATGAGGACAGACAAACTGAACACTGGATCTCAGAAGAAAGCCACTAGTTGAATTGTCTCCCAAGACATACTCATCATTGACATTCCAGCAATTCATTTGCATCTTTAATTAAGTTTGGTTCCAATACTCATATGAGAACTGCAGACTCTTCCTGGAGAAGGAAGCAGCAGACTGACATGACTCCAACCACCCAAATGTGACATTTTACTTTTGAAGTTCATTTTCTCAAAGCTGGTTCCAGTTTTATCAGCTGGACTAGCTTGCTTCTAATAATACCCTAAAACATTCTGCCATCATTTAATGTCTGAAAGGTTTTTGTAGTTTTGCAGACTGAAATGTAAGACAAGACTAAAATCTAATAATTTTCAAACTCAAATGAAATTAACTGTATTTTCCTCAAATCATGCTGATTTGCACACTCTTATTCAAGTCTGATGTATCTTTTCAGGCTCTTTGGATCATCTCATAACAAGCTGATCCCACATGACTTCCCCTGATGCTCCTAGGCCAACCCATGCCATGCTTCCACCTCCTGTATTCAGGGAGGACAGTCCAGAGAAGCCAAGAATATTAAAAGTGTTTTTGTGAAGGCCAAGTAAGGACCTATTTCTTAGTCCTTCAGTTTTGGAGCTGCTTCTTTTTAAAATAATGTTTCTTCTTCTGTCTCTTGGATGAAAAGAACAGTAAAGAGCTGTACATGCTGTAATATGCAGAGACAATAAAAGCTAAGGCTGACAGTTTATAGCAGCAGGGAAGGATTTGGAGCCTTCTAAATTGCTCTTGGGTTTCTAGCTGTAGTGTGCCAGCACTGAATACAACCTTTTTGAAATGCCAGCAAGAAGAGATGAGGTCTCAGGATGCTGGCTCACTCCACTTCACATATTTAATGATTATTTGCTTTATTGCCCAAACCCTCACTGGTCATCTAGAATTCCTTTACATTAAATGGAGAGAAGCTGAATATTCTACTCTGTGAACTTTCTTGGAAAGGCTCACAATTCTTCTCAAGTTTTGAATGGGGCAAATCACACATTAAAAGTAGCACTTACTATTCTCCAGAGTTCAGAGTGTATGCAGGCAATGAGCGAGACAAATTTCAGACAAATTCAGACATACCGTCAGAAGACATGAATTTCATCTTTTTTAGGAACATTAGATTACCAAGCAAGTATTTAATGGCTCCTTTAAACTCTAGATTCCAACCATTTAAGGTGGCTTGCTTTTTTTTTAGGGAATGAATATACTTGTAGCTATTTTCCTGAGTTTGTAAATCAAGGGTTGCTACAAACGGAGAAGAAATTCTCCCTTGTTGAAGGTTTTGGAGGGTTCCTGTGCAACTTACCCAAATGCCTTTGTGATTCAAATAAAGGCTTGGTGTGCCTTTTCTTGCTTTTAATATAGAGAAAGCCAAAGGCTTAAAATTATCTTTAGGAATTTATAAGCTGAACTTCAAGAGAAGGACAACTAAATCAGTTTGCAGTGCACATTGCTGGGTGCTATCCTGCAACTTGAATTTGCAAAGGCTCATGTAAGATGATGAAAAGCTCAGACTCGCTTGGGATTGTAGAAGGAATCAAACACCTGCAGAAATGTGGGAGAATTTCCTGGAATTCCAGAGGCTGGAAGAGGGATGAGCTTTAATGCCTGATACAATATGTGAAGAGCACACAAATAAACCTTGTAAGTGCAAACCAGTGCATAACCAAGCATCAAAAGAAACTGGGAATTCCCAGTTCTGAATGGCATTATCATGGTAGTAATTAATGTGGTTATTATTAATACATGGTAATAATTACATTTCATTTGAGCTGTGCAGAAAAAGAGATTCAAAAATCGACTCAGCCTCACAGTTACATAAAACTGTTGAGGCATCAATTCCAAAACATAAAATCTGAAAACCAGAAGTTCCCCTTGAGATAATTTTGAAGTGCTAATTTCACTAAGATTTCCTCAGAGAGATTTCTGGTATTTGGAAGCAGCGTCTAACTTAATTGTGCGTTTGCAAAATGTGACCAGAATTCTAGAGGAGTATCTTGGCAGAAGTGAATTATATTCAATTTTGGGAATATTTATCAACTGAATGACATTTTCATGCAGTTATTAGACAAATAAACTTTTTGCAACATCCAAGGATGCACTGATGTGTGTTCAGGGAAAGCTTTCAGCTCTTTTTAGTGATATGTATCCTGTGCACACAAGGATCTCAATCACCTCATTTTTCTGTCACACTGCATGTCACATTTATCTGAAAGAGCAGAAAAACTACACAATATATGGCTGAATAAGGACTGTTTTCTAAGCTCTAAAGTATCAATGAGCAAAAGTAATTCCTAATATTCTTCTTATCCAGGATACAATGATAAACAATATTAGTGCCAGTTGAAAAACAGATGACAAATAAAAATTATTCCAAAGAATACTGTCCTTTCACAACTGTACAAAGGTAGAATTACAAATACACTATGCAATGGAGTTGTAACGATGAAATGATTAAGTGATAGAGTCAGTTATCAGTCAGAGAAACAACAAATCTCTTTATGGAAACTGAATCAAGAGTTTCTGAACATCTGCTCTCCATAGCAAAAAAAAAAAGAATTCCAACAGTATAAACCCCTAAATGATTAAAGTATGACCCACTTTGGCATTCAGAATTTTCCAGCAACTAAATACAAAATAGCTTCTGGCCAAATGAGAAGCCTCTGCATTCAGCAGAATCTGCAGGGAACTATTTTTCAGAGGAAAATATTTCTACAGCAGAACAGAAAAAAAATTTAAGAGGAAACCATAGAATTCAGGAGAACTAGAAGCATTATGTACACAGCAGAAAAAAGTTAAAGCTCTCTGCAGTAACTGCTGCATCCTTGAAAACAAGCTTCAGGGTGTTTTATTTTTCTGAGAACAAGTGAAGCCCATTCCCCCGTCCTGCTGCTCCTCACTTACCGCCCACGTCTTGGTCAGCCTGAAGATGGGAGCACTCTGGAGGCCTGACACCACTGCCATGAGGGCATGGAGGTTGTTCAGCTCATACAGCTTCTGAGGACAAAAAAAGAGAAAAAAAAAATCAACAATAAACAACATTCCAAGGGCTGTCAATAGTGAACACAGAATAAGTAACAATATAAAGATGGAGAAATCTTGCAAGGTCTAAAATGAAGTGTTACAGTGAACTGCTGTGCACACAGACCACTTTTATGGCACCTCCTAATTTTTCATTACTGCATCTCTATGGTTTTGGATTAGACTAACTAGCTGTTTCATAGCCCATAGAGAGCCCTTAAAAATATCTATATAGACACACATCTTGGGGAATATATTACAAGTGCCAGAAATTTTCTGACATTCAAACCCAACAAATTCCTTTCATAGCATTCAGTAGTATTTTAGAACAACACACCAGAAAGGACAATCCAGTGGTGAATGATGTAATCATGTCAGTACCTAAAGTTTATGCAACAACTACATCAACAAGGCTACATCAAAGCACCCAAAAAATATCTTAGCAGGATGAAATCAAGGAGGTAAATTTCAAAAGCCACATCCCTGGAGTACTCCTCTCACTGAAAGACCATTTCTGGGGTATGACAACTAACTAGTTGAAAGCAACAACCCAGTCAAAACTGAACAGCAAAAACATTAGGGTAAAGTAATTCCCTTAAAGACTCTATAAAAAACATTGTGTTTAATTGCATTTTCTCACACATTTGGAATTTCTCTCCCTTTTCTTTTTCTTTTCCCTCTGTCTCCAAAACTATCCACTGCCTTGGCCAAGTAACTACTGGTGCTACTGTCATGAAAGCTTAAAAACAGTCTGGAGGAAAATGTTCTTTCTGAAGCTCTTTTGCAACATCAACTGTTCTGATAGCTGTGAGCTCTCAGAGATCCAAACTACACTCATTTTTGGTGCAGTGCACCCAAACTGAGGTCCCTAACAGAGAAACTTTGGTAAGGAGAAATGATACTCAATCACAGTACTGCAAATCTTGTTTAATCCATTTGGAATATTCACCAAGGTAGGTTAGGATTCCAGCAAGAAAAAATAAGGAACCCTTCCTATTTAAAAAATGGTGGAAATCTTTTTTCCTACTTGAAACTCAGCTTACTTCTTGCTTAGGAAGCCTTTCATGAGGCAAAAGGACAAAAAAACTAGACTTATGGAATACTGACTAAATGCTGAACATCTAAGGAGAGCCTCTATTTGGAAGGGTGAAAGCCAAAACCCAAGGATGGTTTTCTGGCTAACAGTTTTGGAACAGGGCAAATATTCTCTCTTCACTTAACACACTGCCAGGAAAGTTACAGCCTTTTATGGAACAAAGTCCTCACAAGTATAAGTCAGAAATGCCACTTTTAATGGCACCCCAGAAGCATTTCCACTCTGGGTGCTCAGACTCCCGCGATTCCAGCATGTCCTGCTGACAGTGGAAGTTGGCCCACACCTTGTGATGAAATGCTTCCCTCACCTCATCCTCTTTTGGGAGGATTCTTCAGTAACCAGTGTAAAGGGTAGTCAGCATTTTGTGGGGCGAGGTGGAAGGGGCTGGATGTTTGTTATACACCACAGTCCTGTTAACCTTCCAAGCAGTTCTGCTGAAGTTTGTTCCACCACTTACACAAGAACCCTTTTCCCGCCCACACACATCCCAAACAAGGTAATAAAGTTCACTGTCCCAAAGGACAGTGGAGCTGATCAGAAATGAAAAGAAGGGCTTTCCCAGCTGCTGCCAGCAGTGGAACAGGAGTCATCACCAACCAGGACAATCTGGGAACTTCAGGGGAGCTGTTAGGTCTCATAACCTCATGCATTAAGCAGGGTAGGTGAGACACCATTTAAGCTATACAATAGGCTGCCAGCACAAGGAATGCACTGTGGAGTGGATTTACAGCTTCTCTAAAGCAGAGGTAATTAGTGTGACCCCTGGCAAAAAGCTGTTTTGATAATAGCTCTGGATATCAGAAACTCCTTCCAACAGCCCCCACTGCAGTAACTTCATGTCCGCAGCCATATGTAAGCAAAGCCAAGGTAACAAACACAGAAATAAATGAACTGATATAAAAGCACCCCATACAGAGCTGCTTGCTTTTTGTAACTGTGATTTTTACAGCTGACAGGTAAGCTAAACTCAATTATCTGATTGTTAGAGCACATAACTGTCTCCAAGCCAGCAGCATTCCAGCAGCCACTGCAGCCTGCAGTGCACTGCTGAGGTCAGGCATGCTCAGGGTGCTGTGCCCAAAGCTACAACACCCAGCACTGGCCAGTCCCATCCCAGAATGAACCAGACCTGAGCCCACCTGGCTTCCCACATCTGTTCTGCACTGTGGCCACACAGAGCTGAACCTCCCCCTCCTATGGATCATGAAGCCAGTTTTCTTATGTTTGTATTTCAAACAAAAACACAAGGATTGGCTTTTAAAAATACATGAGATGAAGATACATTAACTCAGCAGATATCAAAGGATGTCTAAGAGAGATCATTAACACTTTATGACCACAGCATGATTACTGAGCAAAGCCTGTGGAATCCTACTAAATTAGCTCTTACTTTGCCCCAAGTTGAGAGTCATATCCCACAGGAGTAAAATATTGCTTCATTAAAAAAGGACTTGTCAAGACAGGGAATGCACTTGAATACAAAATGAATTATTAAGAAATATTTTACATCTTTTTGCACAGGTAACTCAGAGTGGTCACAGCAGTCAGCTATAGTAAAAGGCAGACATCATCTGACAGCATAAACTTGAAAAACATCCCCTTTTTCTCACTAATGTGAAGAAGCTTCACTCTGTTTGAAGGGCTGTATGTCACTCCAGATTTGCTGACCCTTTTCTTGTGAATGTCAGTCCAAAAGGCATTAGGAAAGACTGAGAGCTCCAAATTGTCTTCTGAATCGCAGTCTATTTTTCAAACCACATTTTTAAAGTTGATATTATTTGAGTAGAGATAAAAGATCCTTTCCTTCCAAAGGTAAAAGGAAACAAACCATTTCCCTTCCGACTATAGCTGCTTAAACTGACTGTACACTTTGTGATAGAAAACAAACAGTTACAGATGTCAACAGAAACAATCACAGGTAAGTCAGGTGTCAGACAGGTATTTCCCCTGTGTATTTCTGAACTGACCAAACTGGGTATAAAACCTTTGATCATGGTGAATCCCACACTCCCTTCACAATACAAATTCTTACCTTTGCAGTTTTGATGTAATGGCTCAAAACCTCAGCTCGTATTTTTAAAGTCTGTGCATGCAGAATCTCTCTAACAACCCAGAAGCTTACCTAAAATATAGGGAAAAAAGCCTTTTAAAAATACAAAGTTTCAACACTACACTTTTACAAGTTTTATTTATTTTTATGGAAGTATGATCTATGGAAACAGACTTGAGTTCAGGGTAAACTTGAGAGTGAGATCACACACAAAGCAAATGGCAAAACACTCAAACTTCGAACAGTGCTCTCCCAGGAAAATAAAATCATGAAGAAATTTTATGAAAAGCCTAGAAAATGAAGGAATATAAACACTAACACTGACTCATATCCATTGGTTTGCTTTCCCACAACATCAAAGCTGCATTACTCAACTCTTACATGAATTGAGCAGCTTCAACTACAGCTCACTGACATTTCCAACACCTTGAAAAAGAATTAACCCTCATCAAAATTAGAATGTAAGGTAGGAAGCTCTGCCATAACCTAGCTTCTAGTTTATATTCTTATTTCTGGCTATGCCAATTACCTGCTGATGTACAGACCAGTATCATACTCTTAGCTAAGCTCTCTAGGACTGACTTCACTGCTGTGGAAGATCCCTGCTAAATTCAGTATAAAGAATGGTTGCTGCATTTCATACTTATGTGAATGTCTCATAAAAGCTGTACTCTAAAAGGGTTTGGTATTATGTCTAAACTCCACTGTTTTCTCTTCTCTGCTCCCTCCCACCCTCTGCCCTCACAAAGAATGATAAAAATTAAGCACTTTCATAACTGTAATAAAGCAGTAGTAAAGAATTAGCAAAGAGTAACAAATGCTGCAGCTTTTATTAATGTATTTGCTATGAGTTGGGAAAAAAAAAAAATTATCATCAAGATACCCCAAAACTACCAAAAACAGTGTATGAAGAAATTTACTATAAGTTTACTCTTATACATGGAAAGCTTTCAACATGTCATGTTGCTTTGATTTTTAACTGATGCTAAACTACTTCTTATAAACTAACATTGAGTATGTATTCAGGTTCCTGGCCAAAATCTCAATTAGAAAAATGAAATATCCTGTTCCACTTTGTTCAGTACAATAGCTCCTAACACAGAAGTGCACAGGAAGATCCACACCTCCAAAATTATTACATTTGCAGTGAAGCTACAGGGATCTAATGAAAACTGGGATATTAAATCACAACAGCTCTTTGGAGAAATGGAAGAATGACAAGAAAACCCACAAAAAATCCCCACAAACATCTTGCATAAGAATCACTTTCCTTTGGTCTGTTTGTCTAAGATTGTATTAGCCAGGAAAGAATTAACCATACAGCTCAGGTTTCTATTTCCTTTCATTTTTCTTCATTTTCTTTCCTATTTTTCTTTTTTGCAAAGCAAAATATCTGTTCACAAAAAGTGGTTCCAACTGATTAAAAAAAATCTCAATATGTTGCCATGCTCAAAAATAGCAAAGTTTTGAAACCACTGCTTAAAATTAAAAAGAGAAAATACAGAAAATAGTCTCATTTTTGATGGTACATCATCAAATTTTAATAATATGAAAATCATAGTGACAGTATCTGTATTTAAATGACAGAGACTGCCATTCCCTTTTTTTAGGTAGAGAATAATTTTCCTTTTAAGGACAGGGCTCCAAGTGCTGAGACAATCTCAGGAGTAGTGAGAGTAAAAAAGAATTGAAACTCTTGCATCTTCTTCATTGTTAAGAAAACAAAAATACGTGGATTGTTGCCAGGTCTTCTTCAGTATTTTCTTTAATTAAATATTCTGAATGTGTCCTTTCTGAGTCCTGCCAGGAGCAGGGATTTGCACGCAGTGATTCTTATGGGCCCCTTCCAACTTGAGATATTCTATGACTCTATCAAATACAGAAGTACTGAATACATAAAATATTCGGCAGTACTTCAAAATTTTGTCATAAAAAGCTTGACCTCAGTTTGGTGCTCTACTGTAGTTACACAGCTTGAGAAAAAGAACTTTCTTCCCCTGATTGATCAATGAGTTTTTAAGGAGATCCTTTCTTAGTGAAGATCAAAGGAATTTAAATTTTTAACACAGATTTCTGTATCATAAAGAATCACATAAGGACAACACACACAGCACTACACCTCAAGATCCCAAATCTCCTTGATTTTAAGTTCAGAGAGTGCTGATGTAACAGAAGAATGCCTGTGATGGGCCAGACTGTGATACACTTGCTCAGAACACAGAGCATTTTCATCAGGACAAAAATCCCCCGATTTCCTCTGTCTGTCCCAACTTCTGTGGAAGTTCCCTGGCATCACAGAGACACAAACACTCCTGTTTGCCCTAGGAAGCCTGGTCTCTGTTCCAGTCTCAGCCAGACCTCAGCTCAACACTTCCAAGCTCTTGCAGGAAAAAAAAAAACCGAAACAAACCAGAACAAATTTCCTTCGAAGCTCAGAGCCCTCCAGTCGCTCCAGTGACAGAGCAGGCAGGAGATACAGAACCAAACACACTTAATCACCTCCACTTCAACCACTTCCAGTCCCCTCTGATGTCTTTTTACTGACATAAACACTGGGTTTTGGCTGGTCATGTCTATTAACTGGTATCTTTAGACAGCACCATAACCGAATGTATTGTACATATTGAAAAAGCAGTAATTTAAATAAATACTTTTGTTTCATTCTTTACATAAATAATACATATTTGTTCCATATAGTCCTCTCTTGCTGCATTTAAATGTTATTATACCAACATCAATCAGCAACATGACTGCCAGCCTTTGGTACCAGTTCAAGGCAGCATTTACAGCCTGACATATAATTGCATATTTACATTCTTCCTTATTAAAAGGTAAACTGAGAAGAACAGGCTTAACTTTGAACATATCTGTTCTTGAATCACATCTTAAGATTTTTAAATTATCCCATGCTTACCCTATCTGAAACACCAATTCTGTTATACTGGTGCTTTTAAGTTCATAGTCATTGCTTCCAAAACTATCTTTGCTTTCTGTGCTAATCAAGAAATAGGAAAATTCAAGAATATTCCTTTAATAGTTTCTGGCTTTTCCTTTCAGGTATCATCCATGCATACTAACCACCCCACTCCTTAATTTCCATTAATCCCAGTTAAATCCACTGTAATTCAGCAACACTACAATATTCAAGAAAAAGTTCTTCATACAATGTTTGCATTTGGGTTAAAAAAAGATGCAAAAAACCTATAAACACAGTCAGTAAAACATAAAATTTTCCTTTGGCAAGTGCGATCTCTTCCTTTAAAACTATTCCAATGTACTGAATCTAGCTGACAAGTTTCTCTAATATTTTAAGCTTTCTGGCAGCACAGTTCCACTCCTATTTAAATAAAAACCTCAAGAAAGAGGTTTTCAGTTGAGGGACTCTGATAATCAAAAGACCGATAGTGACCTTTACACTTTACCTTCAAAAAATTGTTTATTTGAAACATATGATAAAAGTTTATTTCAAAAGGTAAGACAATGATCTAGTAAGTGAACTTGGCAATTGTGCAGTCTGAGAGGTTTACCAGTAACAGCAAGTCTACAACTCACTTTCAGAAGAAAGAAATTTCCATTAATCCCAGTTAAATCCACTGTAATTCAGCAACACTACAATATTCAAGAAAAAGTTCTTCATACAATGTTTGCATTTGGGTTAAAAAAAGATGCAAAAAACCTATAAACACAGTCAGTAAAACATAAAATTTTCCTTTGGCAAGTGCGATCTCTTCCTTTAAAACTATTCCAATGTACTGAATCTAGCTGACAAGTTTCTCTAATATTTTAAGCTTTCTGGCAGCACAGTTCCACTCCTATTTAAATAAAAACCTCAAGAAAGAGGTTTTCAGTTGAGGGACTCTGATAATCAAAAGACCGATAGTGACCTTTACACTTTATTTGTTTATTTGAAACATATGATGAAAGTTTATTTCAAAAGGTAAGACAATGATCTAGTAAGTGAACTTGGCAATTGTGCAGTCTGAGAGGTTTACCAGTAACAGCAAGTCTACAACTCACTTTCAGAAGAAAGATGAAAAATGAGAGATCAGAGTTAATTTTAAAAAAAGGCTTATTTCCTCCTCACTAAATATAAACTAATGCAAACATAGCACATTAAGTCACATATTAAAAAAAAAAATTATATCAGATATGTAGATCTATGTGGGGGTACCACTCAACAATGAATTCCCCAAGGTCAGGAGAGTCCTGGCATGGAAGGATTCCACCGATTTCTGTTGCCTGAACTCAATCTGTTTTCACAGACACATCCAATTATCCCATAACTAATGCTGGAATTGCCTGACTTCATCCTCAGTGGAATGTAATCAACTGCACAGAATCATTACTGCCTCCAAAATGCTACCTGCATATCACTTTGCTGTGAAGCAGCTGTTAGCAATTTCATATTCTCTTTATTTAAGAAGTGAGAGCTGTTCATGGTTTTCCTTTGGCAAGCTGGGGGCAAAAAGGGAAGAGACAGATGCATAATGCTTTATCCAACCCCAGTGAAATTTCAAAGGTTAACAAAATTTTGCTGACCTGTATTCCTGCCTGACAAGGCCACAAGTCCCTGTGACTTTCCTGATTGTTTATTTTAGGACTAAGCATTAGAACACCCCAGGTAAGTGGAGCAGAAACAATATTTGTCCTTTTCCCTCTCTACTCCTATACTGAGGGCTTCCTTGATGCCAGAACAGAGGCTGATATAAACTTTGTGGAATTCCTTATTCCCATGAGAGGGTTTCCCCTCTTTCTTTCTGGCTATGAGCATATTTTACCAATTCTTTAGTATGTCTGAAGCTGACTTCAGGCAGTTCCTGTAGTTCTTCAGCAGAGCACATAACAACAACTGAGAAGTGAAGTCCTTGATGAGTTACACTGCCTCACATGGTTTTTACCACAAAAACATTTCACAATATTCAGCAAAACTAAACATTTCTTTGAAGAGTCAACTTCCATGAAAAAGCAAGGCAGCAAATGTTGGAATCAGTGAGATTAGTGTCAAAACCATGAATGTTTTATAGCAGCCTATACATTCTAACAGGAGCAACTTCAAAAGCTAGATCACAAAAATTTCAACTAAATGCAGAACAGCAACAACAAAACAAAACAGCAAAAAACAACAACAACAAAATACCCATCAAAACAAACAAACAAACAAAACCCAATCAAAAACCAAACCAAAACAAACAAACAACCCACAAAAACATTCCCAAATTCTTGACCAAACCCCCCCGGATCTCAATGATGGCACAGTCACAGAAAGTTTGCAGTGTAACATTTTCTCTTCAGTCCAGTGCAGAATCAGGCAAGTGTCCAAAACCCAAAGCCAGACAAGCATTTCACTCAGTAGGTTAAGAAATAGTCTTAAGCGTTGTCAGTGAAAAATAATAGGATTTTATCATATCCTCAGTGAGAGCAGTCATGAAAAATGAGAAAGTACACAAGAACTGATAAGAAAAAAAACCCTAAAAAATTTAGAGGTTTGGTCTGAGTTTCAGATGATTAACAAAGATCTCTGTAAGTCTGAGACTGGGCACAGAGGTTAATTCTGCAAGACAGCTTGTAAGTTTGAGACATTATTAAACATTTACAGGATGAGAGATGAGAGTAATAGAATTACTTTATCTGAAAGAGAAAATATGGCATTACTTAAAAAGAGCATCACAGTTTTGAAACATGATTGGGTAACTCCACAGCTGGACTCCTCCAGCTTTAATTGTGAAGAAAGGGAGAATTCTGTTCTTCTTTTAAGAGTTGATTTTATACAGAGAAATTGTTGAATTAAAAAAAAAACAAATCTCAAATATACTACCTAAAAATTATGTGAAATAGAGAGTTAAAGAACAAGTTTTTTAAAGAAAAATTGTTTGGAATTTTCAAAAGTTTCCCTAGAATCACCCTAAAAAGGTACCTATGCTAACAAGAGGCTTCTATTTCTAGGGACAAAAATATCTATGTGAAGCATAAGACACTCAACTAACACAGAAGGAAATTATATCTAATTACTAGCCCAGAAATCCTGTATGGCAAGCCTTTAACCTGTAATTATGATTCTGTCTTCATATAAAAGACAGCCAGCAGTTCTGCAGAAAATGTGCACTTTTCATCAATTGCTGCTATTTAAAACAGAATATTTCTTCAACACTGGTTTGGTCTTTCTGCATATCCTACAGATAAAGTATTTGCTAAAAGGAGATCCTTAAGTTGTCAAGTAATCAGCTGTGATCCAAAATAAAAGTGATGTGCCAGAACACTTAATCCCACAGACTTTCTAAAATGTGTGCGTGTAATAATGCTGGAAAAAAATAACTCACATGATTGAATCTTCTGGTGAAAGCAACAGCATTGGGTGCAGAACTGTATTTCTCTTTTTTATTCCAGCCACAGCTTGCCAGCTCCTGGGAGAACAAGGATGAAAATTCACTTCTTTAATTTAGTGCATAACACATGTTCAGAGCCAAAGGCATATAGAACACAAATCTTGTAAGTTTTAAAATAACAGAGCAACAACACATTGAAGTAATAGAGTTACACTTGTTCTGATTCTGGCTGAAAATTGAGATTCCATAAGTGTAATTTCTGAATTGTGCTGAGTTACTGACTATTACAATTAATCTTTTGCTGAATTAGAGCTTTTCTTATTTTGTTACCACAGAAGATCCTGCTTCAAACATGAATCTGAGCTAGAGAGCCAAATGTCCTTTTGTTTTTAATCACTTACTGAAGCTGTTTAAAGAGATGATACACCTAGTTAACTCAATCTAAGACATGTTTTTAACTTGGCACGTTGCATTAAAGAAATATCAAAAATGTGTCACCATTTGCAGTAACAACAAAAGAAAAACTATTTTCAGTTTTCCCTTCCAAAGGAGCCTATTTTAGGACACTGCATCATCTTGTTATTCACTATCACTTAATTTCAACAATGAAGTTTTCATTAAAATCATAAATAATTTAAATGTACCAAAATGAGCTCTTCCATTTGTATAGAACAGCACATGAATGGATGCAAAGACAGCATTCAGCACACAACCTGTTCCACAGTGCTATCAAGAAAAATAATCAAAATAGACGCAGCTTAATTATTCAAGTGGCATAATAGCAAATTACAGCCCTTCCTTTTTACTTATTCATGTCTTCCTTCCAGATCATCCACTCTGAAGTGCCCTCAGTTTTATTACCATGCTGAAAACTTTTCACTGAAGCCACATTCACACTACACATCCAACGACCACATAACTTAGATAAGATGACTCAACATGTAACCAATAATTGTGCCATTTAAGATACAGTTTAAAAGAATTTGGTATCTGGATAGTCTCAGTTCTAATTTTTTTACTTTTTAAAATCAGAAACTTCTTAGGATCTTTCCAACCAATGTCCCAAAACTACTAAAGAATCTCATGCCAGGTAAGAGGGACCCTGAATTCTTCTACTTGAAGTTTGTGTGTTAGAGAAGACCCAAAGATTCTTGGCCAGGCACTGGAAAGAATGCAGAATTTCTGGCTTTATATTTAGGGCTATTCCTTCAAATTTTACTAGAAAGTTTTACCACTTAAATCTACCCTGGAAAATCTGGCATGCTCAGCACAGGAAAGCACGTGCCCCTGTCCTTACACCTCCACTTCAATGAGTATCCATGAGACAACCACACAGCCCTGAATTACTCCTGTTCCAAAGGAGAGCAGGCTACTGGAGAAAGGAGCCATTCAAGAGACTCTTGATTAAATTCTCTATCCCTCAGCATCTCTAGTTTCCACTGGAATCACAGCTCTGCACTTGGAGGAACACAAGGGAATTCATTCACTGGCATCTGATAACCCTTCCTTAGCAGTGGGAAATAGTTATCACCTCAGGTTCAGGGAAAATATGGGAATTTCTTAAAAATTCAGGCCATGTCCCTCAATTGCAGTTCTCGTCACAGACTGAAAAACTCATAATGATTCTAGGCAGAAGCTTCCCATTGCCCTGGCCCTGCACATCTAAGGGCCCACAGGGTACAGACATCAGTGGCAACTGCAAAACTAAAGATTCTGCTCCTGCCTGGGAAGACACACATCCAAAGCTTTTTCCAGAGGTGTAGAGGCACACAGGCATTCAGGACCTGTGCCATCAGTTCCGATTCTTCAACAGCCTAGGGTGGCATCCACACCACTGTTCAGGGACAGACACAGGAGCGGCAGAGCTTTGAGAGTTCCAAAAGCATTTCCCCCTCCCTTTAGGAAATGTAGGAAACACTTCCTCATCACACTTGCAAGACCCCTCTCCCTTGGGCAGCCAACTTTCTTTTCTCTCATCTTCACACTAAAAGAACAGTGGTTTCCCTTTGCCTGTCAGGTCTCCCAGGTGACCACCTGACCTTTCTGCCTCAGGGGACCCCTGCTCAGAACCCTCCTGCCCCTTGCCAGAACTTGTCTGTGTCCACTCTCTGCCTTTGGCACTGCCCCAAGATGCCACCAGCAGAAGAGCAGCCACCAAGGTGTTTGTCCTCCCTGGATTTGGCCTGGAGTGGTGCCACACAGTCCCAACGAGGACACATCTTGCACTCATGATGGCAATAAAACACTCACACACCACACTGGAACTGAGAAACCACTCTTATCCTTCTATAAAAATACTCACTTCTCTGCTAAATAGGCTCTGCTGTCTATTTCTTACTCACTCTATTTCTTGATCTTCCTCTAGGATTCTACTTTTTCCACCAGAAGTTTCAAACCTGAAGTATTCCCCAGGATTATTTCCTTAGTCTGCCCGTCAGCTCAGGAACAGGAGCTACATCACTACAACCACCAATTTCTTACTTAAGGTGGTACATTTAAACTGATCTGAACAACCGAAAGACATAGGATCAAGAATACAAAAACTGAACTTTCTCTGTAACTCATTCTGGTTTTGAATACATAGCATTTTATTTTCCTTAACAAAATACTGTGGGAACATTTAAATTATAACCTGTACTACACCGCAGAGAGCAAAATCCTGTTTCTCACAGAAACCTTTATTTAGGTCAAAGGGAAAGTTTCAAAAAGAGGAGAGAAGAAGCAGGGATTAATAGTGGAAGCCTTCTACAACTTGAGAGTAAGCAGAGATTAATACTACTCAGCAAGTGATTTTTTTTTTCACTGCATGGTCTGGTGAAGCAGAGGGGACGAAGAGGTTAAAGACAATAACCCAGTAGAGATTTTCAATATGAACACATGGGCAAATAATTTTGGATGATGTACTAAAACATGCAAAGCAAGTGATCAGATTTTCCAAAAAAAGCAAGCTGATGTGTTCTGCAAGGGGTCATGTGGCTGCTATTTAATGTTAACACAACTACCAGCAGCACAGCCAAGCAAGTCTAAAACTCCCTTCTTTTACAGTAAAGCAGAGCTTTGCAGTCACTGCTCTCTAGAAACCCACAACCATGACAAGAGAGAGAGAACAAAAACCAACATACCATTTGCAATTCCCAGGGAAGAGAAGGAAATCTTATGACTGACTGGGGGAACTCTGTAATTTTTTTTCCCCCTAAAAATTAAAATGCAAATTGGCTGCTTTCATACAGACAGATGTTTATGTCAGAGAAGTGTGTTCTTTATAATCTTTATTTTTTATACTGCAGCTCACTAACTATTAATTTACAAACAATCAGTAATTCCTTCTCCTTTCTCAGAAGTAACTTGCAGGTGTTTTTAATGAAGAAGGAAGGTGTTTTCCAGAATCCAGAAGTGACACAGCCTGCATTCAGCTCAGGCAGAGGATCGTGTCACTAAAGAGTATCTAACCAAGGTAATGGTTCAAGTCCCTGCTTCTGGCTCATCTCAAATGTAAAGGGATCCACCACTTCACTTAATCCCAGATTCTGTAGGCAACATTAAACTTCCAGTCTGTTTTTTCATTTCAAGCATGAAATGGTGAGTTGTAGTGGGCAGCATGCAGGAACTTGAGCACACGTGTGAAACCACAATATTGCTAAGAAATTTGGATATACACAGAAATAATTATATTTACTTGCTACAGATAGAGGGAAAAGACTGCTAAAGTATGTAAGTGTGCTGTGAGCATGCTCACTGATTTTGATGTTAAAAGAAAAACTACTACATATTGGTTTTTTTTTTTTTTTTTTTTTGTTAAGATAATCAAGATGAAATTGCTTTCTATTTTAAAAAAGCCACCTGTAATAATTTAATAAATATTTTTACACAATGAGGAAGGTGCAACACAATTTTAAAGATACTAAAAGAATACTGCTCATACAGCCTAAAAATGAAAATTCATCTCCAGCAATTAAAAGAATTAAGCATCTCGGAGTACATCTTTCAGAAACCTTATTTGAGAAAATAAATGAACACACATTAAAGGCTAAGAAATTTCATTCAGATACCATTCTGCATTTTGGGAAGCAAAGGGCGATTCACAACCCGTGTAACGAAGATTTGCTGGTGAATTTCAAATTGCAATAAACACCCTGTTTTTAAATCATGGCACACTGGGGAAAAACATTGCTCATCATCTCCCACCATGCACACAGATGAGAGCTGTGAAATTCAGCATCAATACTTAGAATGAAAAACCCCAATTCTATCAATGCCTTTCAGTCACCCATTGAAGACTCAGTTTAGGAACCCTTTTATACAGGTGAAATCAGCTCAATTAGTGTTTTGTTTTCTAATTACAAACTCCACAATACTTGAGTGTACATGCCAAGGGATGGATGAAGATTTACAAGTTGAATCCAGACATAGCTATGGCTCAGGCTGGTAGAAGCTTGAAGGAAGCTCAGAAATCTACACCACTTCATTAACCTACTGTCAAGATGCCTTGAGGTAAATTAAGCCTTCCACGTCTGATATTCCCTTCTGCAATCCAAGGGAAAAGCATTTTAACTTTGTTTAGCCTTTTCTGATGTGAGAGCTGATGTTTACAGCCCTTTTCCTCAGGGGATGAACACAGTTTAGATACACATGAGCCACCAGCCTCTGAGTACAGTGCAGGAGCACTGATGCACAGGTAACACCTGCACACTGTCAGAGCCTTCAGCTCTTTGTGTGCAAACACTCCAAAGAGTCAAACAGCCACCCTTCCTCATGGGTATTTCCCAGTGAAGGCATCACACCAATTTTTCTTACTGATTTGTTCTTATTCTTATGCAGATTTCTTATAAATAATTACTTTGCAGGTATATCTGCCTACACTCATATTTTTTCTGAATAGGCTTGGAGTGCCTTTAACTGGCAGAATATGTTTATCCTGATCTTCCAATAGGATCTCTCTTTTTTTAAAGCTCCTCTCCAAAGCTTTAAAAGGCAGAATATGTTTATCCTGATCTTCCAATAGGATCTCTCTTTAAAGCATTTTGCCCTTTTATCTGACTCTTTTAAATGTTTTCCTCATATGCATGTCTGTGTACTACTTTTGCTAATGTTAAGTACTGCTGTGATGTAGGTTCAAAATAGATCAAATGGAAAACTCTCTGAAGGATTAAATCAACAAAAAACTCCAAAAACCCAAACCAACAAACTAAGAAATGAACCAAAAATCACACACAGATCCACAAGTGCTGGGAAATACCTGGCTGAAATACTATGAAGCTGAATCATGACATCTTCAAGTACAGACCAAACAGCAGCCCTAAAAAAATTCCCAGGTAACACAAATGATGAAATCAATAATCACAGCCAAGGGATTGAGCTGGTTTCTCCACTTGAAGCACAATATTCTTCAGCAGTCACAAGAGTGACATAACAAACCTGCTGCCAGTGAAAGTTTGTGATGGACTGAAGTGACTGACGACCAGAGAAAGACTTCCACAGTACTGATAAAATGCACAATACACTGAAAAATAAACCCTCAAAGTGCAAAACAATGCCCACAGGAAAATGTGATGATACAGAAATGAGGAGAAACAAATTCATCATTTATTATAGTCACTGTGAAGATGCTGAAATGAGCTCAAGTCAGCTAAAATCTGAAAGGAATATGGCATTACATAAAAACAAATGAGAGAACACAAATCATCAAAGTATTATCCCAACAGATCACACACATCTTGAATGCCACTACAACCATTTTCATTTTGCCAAAGGAGAAGTGAAGCAGTTATAGAAACATGGGGCAGGATGAAGTATTAAAACACGTATCAGTAGCTCAAACCTAAAACATGATCACAATTACCTAATCAGGATGTTTGTCATTCAGAAACACTAAGTCCCACATGCTTCATCTCTAGCACAAGCTGAATTAAATACCAATATCAGTCCCTGAACAGGCTTTTAGCTCCAGATATTTTTCTGTTTAAAAACCATCTGCTTCAGAAATGTATGGATTGGGAAAAAATTAAGATTTATAGACGTACTTGGAAATTCCAGAATTTATACTCTGGCATCACTTTTCTTATTTAAACTGAAAAACAAAGCTAATGAAATACTTACCTCTGGCTGAATTGCTTTAAATACAGGCACATCCATTAGTGTTATTTGACCCTGCAATAAAAATTTCAAAAAAACAGAAGTTAAGATCAAAATTAACCCTAATCCTTGCATTCCAATCCTGCATTGCAACCCTAACCTTAACCCTTGCATTCCATTTAGGTGCTGTGCTGCTTAAGAACTGCATTTGTTCCATTTCCTTTTCTTATTTGGTTTTCATTTAATACCTAATTTCAGAGGTTTCAACATCTACCACAGGGTCATCCTGCAGAACCGAAGAAAAATACGCTCCCAGCTTTACATGCACAAATAATAAACAAATTATGAGAAATTATTCTCAGCAGCATAGTCCTGCAGTTATACAGGCAAGTAAGAGCTTGAACTCAGAAACACAATAGAAGAGCCTCCCCCAAAAGAAAAGGAACTGACTGCAGTTGCTCAAGGATAGCTTCTCTCCAAACTCTGAATGTTAGTCCAGCTACACAATTCTACTGAAACATCCCTACAGCTTTTTAATCAATACTTGAACAATATTGGAGTAACAAAGCAAAGCAATTGTTCAGTTGCTCAGCAACAGTTAAAATTCAACATAGTCATCTCTTTTCCAGCAAGGCAGAGTCAATAAGTGCATTTTCATTCTGGGATGCCTGCTTAGCTTTGAAAAGAGTAAAGTCAAAGACCAGGTTTTGCATTTTGAAATATATTCACAGAACCTTATTTTATATTTATTAATCCTGCACATTTTAGGATTGCTGACAGCCTATACATCTAGGAAAAAAAACCCATTTCTTTCAAAGGCAGCCCAGAAAGACCAGTGCCATCCGAGTTAGGTATCACAAATTTTCTTTTAATAATGAACCCAGGGACCTTGTTCTGTTCCCTCAGCTGTCAGCTGCATGGCTTTATTCCCATTTCCTTGAAAACAGCAGTGCCCCATATATACACTCCAAGGTACACACTGACAGCTTTGTGACTTTCACAAATTGCATGGATGCCACCGTGGATGGTGGCTCAGCTCCTCAGAGAAAGCCAACCTTGCAGGAGAATTTTAACTGGGATGCTCTAGGAGAAAGTCAGCAACTACAGAGATGTACCTGCTCTAATGAGGCAAGATGTGTTTTGCAAGGACAACCCAATCCATATCTGGTAGCACATCTTGACCTCTAAACACATTTTTAGACAGGAATTCTGACAATCAATGATAAACATAAAAAATTGATAAATATAATTTGTCTGTAACCAACACCCTGAAACAACAAGCCCTTTATATGTTTCACTTTTACATGCTCTCTGTCCAGGTCTCTGCTCTGTTGGCTGCTCCTTCCCCCAGACACCCCTAGTGGGGCTGCAATGTCGATGTGCTGGAGAGCAGGAAGCCTGCAGGGGCATCTGGACAGGTGGGATCTATGGCCAGTGGCATGAGGGTCACCAAGGCCAAGGGCTGGGTCCTGCCCTTGGATCACAACAACCCCAGGCACAGCTCAGCCTGTGAGGAGAGTGGCTGGAAAGTGAGGAACCCAGGCCTGGAAGAGCAGCCACTGAACTCCATCTCCAGCCTCCCATCTGAGTACTTAAGTTTATCAAGCTTCCTCAGAAACGCGTTGTTTTTGGTGAATATGTGGCCGAGTGGGTGCATCATTATGCTTCTCAGTAAAGCAAATTAACAGCAAAATTGGTTGGGTTTGGGAAGATGAAATGAAAAGAATGGGCAGTTCAATAAAATTCAAATAGAAGGCACATTAAAAGATCCTCACAAAAGACTCGGGCATTTCAATAGTTATTAACATTTCACAGCAAATTCTCCTCACTAAAACAAGATTGTAATGACAGCACAATAAATAAAAAGCCAGGAAACTGATTATTTGTTCACACTGAAGAGAGAAGACTTAAAGATAAATGTTGTCTTTCTTGCTAGCCCTCCAGAATCCGTCCCCTTCATGAGCCTGAACTGCCTTAGCTAAATTTGACTTGCTTCACTAGTGACTCCTAAACAAATTACTACTTTAAGACAAGATCAATACAAAATACTTATGAAATAAAAAGTAGTATTAGAACTTCACACCCAAATTCATATATCAAAATTTTAAACAGGGATATTTAAAAGGACATTTTAACACTGAAAAAACACACAAGTGTCAGGGTTCAGGATTAGTGGTCATTATTAAATATATTTGAAATTGCTATTAAGTACATTACAACATTTTTAAAAATCTGACAATTAAAAAAAACCTCTGGAACTTTCAACAGAGAAACCTCTTTCTTTTAGCACCATGTTGATACTAGGCTGATAGGTTTTTTTCCTTGCTTGGTTGACACATTTTTGCTTTTATTAAAACCTTAAGTAACACTGTATCACAGAAGCACTAGATCAAGAAACATCCCTCACTGCAGTTCCTTCCTTAGGGAGCTTGAAATTTCCATTACAAGTTCCCAGGGCTTAGTAAATTGCTCATAATTCAAATGAACCAAGCCATTGAGAGCTGAATATCTAAGCTGATTGCTAAAAAGCCATTTGAGTTTGTAGATATGACAGAAACTCAAATTAGAGTCTAAAACTAAATTTAACAAAACAGATTTTTTGAAACATTAACTTGCTCATATTTATAAGTCTAATGACTGAATTTCTATTCTTTTAAAACGTGCTCACTCACTGCTAAGTAAGTAAATAAAGCAGACTGAAAGGCTGGCAGTCTAATTAATAGCACTTGAAATTACAAAGCTTCAAAAATAATTTGAGATTTATGTTATGTGCCATTGCTCAACTCCAACAGCAACAAAAAACTTCTGCCTTGACCATCTCAAGGGGAACCTGAACCCCAATAAACAAAGCCCCTACTTTGGTTTCTGCAAGGAGAGAGATACAATGCACTAACTTTTCTCACTCCAGCTCCTTAACCCAGCCAATACAAATTCTTGGAGAGCTTCCCTCTCCCAAATGTGGTTTAATGCTTTAATATTCAAACCAAAAATTATAAGTGTTCAAATCAACTTGTTACATGAAGCACGCCAACCATAACTTTTCTGGTTTTGGAGCTGCCAGCTGCACAGACTTTAAAAAAATAAAAATAATTACATGTGCAATACAAAATTATGAACTTGTCCTTACTTATCATTTAAATAAGCATTCTGATTATGCAGAGATAGGGAAACTCAGTATTTTCTCTCTTTCCAGAAGTGATACCTCTACCAAGTTCATTTACATAATAAAGTATTTCATCATTGCACAGGGTGAGCTGAATGGAGGTTCTGTTTCTGTTTGCCCTAGATCCTAGATAACAGTTCTAGAATACGAGTGGAAAAGGTGTTTTTAATATATCACATTTATATTTCCCAATTCTCAACCATTTGAAGAGCTGTACAAGGCAAAACCATCTTTTAAAAGCGGTGCATGATAATTTTCCAATTAACACAGTGAAATGGCTGCTGGAAGACACTTCCCCACCCCTTCACAGCCACGGGAGTTTTGCATGTATAGAAAAGACCTTGCCTGGGGAGTCTCCAACAGCCAAGTGTAAAAATATTTTAGCTCTCATGGGTGTTGAGAAGTTGGACTTGTTAACAATTAAGTACTTCAAAACCCTAAAATTATTACCACACAGCTTCATATAAAGAGGTTTTACCCCTCTCTCGGGGAGGTCTGCCGGGTCAGAAATGTTATATTCAAACAACTCAGAACTACATTTCTGTGTGCTGCTTCTTTGAGGAATATGAAGAAGCTTAATGAAATAAAATTCAAAAATATTTCCTGATTTTTTCTCTTTTCTATGAGGACACACGGATTACCCTCTTTTCACAAAAACTTATAACTTAAGAACTTCTAGTTCCAGTTAAGACCACTGCATTAAGCTCCTCTCCACATTTCTGTATCAAAGTTCTCATTGGACCTGGGCTATATTCCCACTTTTTTAGTCCTTCTCAGGCATGAACTCTTTCTATCAGGCCACTTGCTGTATGTACTACAAGTTTTCCTGCCATGTACCTACCCTAAGGACAGGGCACTTCCCCCACTGCTCCCTCCCAGACAGAAAACCCTCAGTCTAAAAAGAAATTCAGTTTCTGTTTGGAATTTAAAAAGTCCAATGTATGCATTCTGGTCATTGAAGAACACTGCCATCAGCTGATTTTCCTTGAAGCCATGTTGGTTGAAGCAGCACTTCATAAATTGTTCCTTAATCTGAATTTCTAGAAGGAATTATATTTAAGCCTTCCAACTTGGCTTAGTGTTGTCTCTCTAGGCTGCCAGGATATTTTCCTCACTGAAAAAATAGCTAAGCCTCTGTTAAGCACAACATCAGTAGGAGAATAATTCTGCTGTCCAGAATGAACACCAGGGGATTCCAGTTCCTGTGTTGAAGCTCTACTTTTTTCTCACAAAGTCCACTCCAAAACTTTTATCATCAATAGCTCCTCCACACGCTGTAATTAAGTTGCTTCTTCTTGCTCTCATTGGGAACATATTTACTCTAATATTCTTCTGCAAAGTAAAGCTAACAGGATGTAGATAATCTGATATTTCACTGTCATAAGAACTCCTCATTGTTTCATTGAAACCATTTTAAAATAAAGTCTATTTGCACATTGTTTCCAAAATAAGCAGTATTTTCTTCCAACAACAATTTGACAAAACTTCACAAGAATTAAAAAGAAAGAAATACACATACATTTTAGCATGAGCTTATACTCCATAGCACTTCCAGGGACTAGGGCAAAGAATAAAGAATCCTTCTTAGATAACTAGGTGGGAAAAAAAAGCAATGGATTTATACAGCTGCGCTTCCCTTAATTCCACCTCAAATATTTACACCACCGTGGCTAAGTCAAAGTATAAAATGGAAAAGTGAGTCAAAAAGTAATAAACAGTCTAATAATTAAACAGTAGCTGTCTAAGGAATAAGAATTTACTGTAAAGCAAAAAATAAATATTTCCTCAACCTGAGGTTGGCCAGCACCTTAATTTGGAGCTCATGTCCCCAAGTATTCTCCTTCTTTACTTCAGCCTCACCAGCCTCCCCATTCCACTGCCACTGCACCACTAACAGATCCCTCCCCCACAAATTGTGCCCTGTGTGCTCAAAACCACACTTCTCCCTGGGATGAAAATGGGGAGCATTCACTGTGACCACGCCGAGCCTGGACACACCACGGCCCCCCCAGCAGGGCCAGACACCACGGGGCAAGCCTGGCACCAGCCTGGCTGTGGCTTCCAGCCCAGGAATAAAGAACTGAGCAGTGACCAGCCTAAAAGCAGGTCTTTAAATCAGAGATGGTCTCCTTCCTAGTTATATCTACAAAGCTGGCCATTGAATCCTTAAATATGTCCTACTTCATGCTCATTGAATGGGATTCTTCTTCCCCAAAATCTATGCAACACTCAGGTATTTAGTACATCCCCTGGAAGCTTTCTGTAAGCTGCAAGGTGATAAAGCAAACTATAAATTTGCAACAGCAGCAGCAGAACCTGAACATCTCACCCGTTTCTGTAACTCAGCCCTTTCTAAAGCAGCCTTCAACCTTGCGGAGGATTAAAACCACCCAGCTGCTAACAAGGTTATAACTGACTCTTACACCTCTATTACAACAAGAATTTCCATTACTGTTCCAACTGGCCCCCTTGAAGGGCTGGAAGACTTGCTTATGAGACAAAGGACCATTACACAAAACAGCACTCCTCCTGTGTACTCAGGACAGTGTTAGATGACTGCCAAAGGGGAGAATATGGAAATAAAATCACCAAAAATATCAGCACTCAGGTTTCTCTTTGGCTTGGTAGCAGCTTCTTGAAAATACAGGATTATAAGCAATACCTTTTGTTGTCCAACTGGTCTCTTACCCACTAAATGACTAAACAGAGAGAGTTTTGAAATGATAATGATGTCTTTGAGACAGTGGGAACTGAAAATACATCTGTGTCTCTCATTGGTACTGAAATCACCAGCATGGATCTTATTTCCAGCGTATCTCAAACTTAATTATCTTTCAGATTTTTGTTCTTCTTCCTCCAGAATAATTGTACTTCTCCCATCTGTGCACACAGACCTGTTCTGATCAAAACAGATCACACAAGGTACAGGATGGGACCTCACAATGTCTGTGTTGACTTGGTCAGTGAACTCTCACCTTTACCTCTGTTCAGGAACTCTTTTCCATTGGAGCCAAGGCTTCCTAACCATTATTTAGACAGCTGCCTAACTACTTCTTGTGGAGCAACTTACTATTATTGCTGTTTTACTGGCTTTTTCAGGTTATCTTTCCTCTCAATCAATAAGCTACTTAGGTAGCCCACAAATTATTTCATCAGTTTACCAATTCAAAAGAAATGACATTATTTTAAACAGTATTCACTCAGCTGTCACAGAGACATGTCTGCAGCCTGCACTGCATCCATTTTATAAGAGCTATCACTAAACGAGAAACTTTCTCATACTTTGAAAAAGCAACTGGCAGCACATCCATGTCCAACCCAAGAGGTAATACCCATCCCCAGGAAACCTCACACACTTTTACATCCTCAAGAGCTGGCCCTACTGTATCAGTCTGGCCTTCACATCCACACTGAAACCCAGATGAAGATTTTACACCTCTCTGTTATAGTAGGATTAAACCCAGGAAGAATAAGGAAGCGGCCAAGAAAATAAAAACAAGGGTCAAAGATACTTTTTCTCCAGGGTACCTAAGTTTTTGGCAAATTTAATTTTTTCCACAATCTTCAGCAAGAATGATTAGAAAAAGACAGTATTCAGAGCAAAAAGGTGCTACTGGAAAAGCAGATATGTGTGCCTGGGGAAACAAACATTAACAAAGAGGTGCAGCTGTGTAAAGAAACATTGAAAAAGAAATTAAATCAATTATTTCCTTGCCAAAGGATTGAATACTGATGATTTTGTTCAATTGTTCAGAATTCTACATGTTTCATATAGATTTACAGTAAATAAAACCTGGTATGAAGAACTAGGTACTTTAAAAGGAAAAAGGTTAAAAGCAAAAATGTTTCTTTTGAAGGACCAAGAAAACAGCAAAATTATACTTAGTAATAGAAACCAAAAATACAGACACAGCTTCATAACTGTAATGTGAAATGCTTAATTAAAAGATTCCTGTTGGTGAGTAGAACTCTACCCACTCTGAGGCATAACATGAAAACAGGAAAAACACTGGATTTGAATACAGATTTTTTTCTAACCAAGATTTCTTAAGTGGGTAACAGTAGAACACACAGAGTCAAGGCTGCTGCATTTGAGAGAAGAAGGATTAGATGGTGGAGCTAAAGAATTATGAAATGTGATTCTATGACAAGGCACCTCTGTATATTCTGCTGTCCAAGGGAGTGACAGCAGCTCCACAGAGACTGACTGATCTATTCTGCTGCCCAACAGCATCTACCTACCACTGGTAAATAGTAGAGCCATTCAACAAACTCATTCTGGCCTGAATGCATAATTCCACTGGAATTCATGTCCCTAGCTCCAGATTCTCTAAGTATTTAGATTTACTTTATGTACAGGAATCATAAGATGAAACTGGAAGGATAGCCAGCCCCAAAAAATATCTTCCCATGGAAAGTAGGTGATGCATTGCCCAGCTGTTCCTGACAACAGTGCAAGGAAGAGGCCCAAACCACATGACTTAAGTCTCAGTCAGGAATAAATCCCATAATTAATTATGATCCTTAGCCAAGAAGAATTTAATGTGTAAGTACCACTTCATAATCCAGCTGCTTTAAATTTTCAGAGTTCTCATTAAAATAAATTGTGCCATTAATAATTAACTGAAATAGTTATTAACAATTATAAACCAGAACAAACTCAATGGGAATATTTTGTGACATGTATTACTCCATATCAATAATCTCCCCAGGACAACTCCTCATGAATCTCATCACTTGAATTGGAAATACATTAAGAGCTTAGCAATCTTTCTAGCAACATACTTGAATCACTTAGAGGGACCATCTGTTGTCCTCACCTCTACAGGGAGTAAAAACAAAACAAAACAATCAACTAATGTTTTGGTTAAACATCTCATTATTCTGTGCAGCCAAAAGAAGAAACCTAGAAAAGATTCCTAGAGCAAGAATTAGCACAGTTAAGAATTAAAATAGCTCCAGGAAAAAAACCAAGTACAGATCAAGTATAGCCTTGCAATTAAAATATGCATGTCAGAATTAAGCTGCATTACATAAATTAAGAATCTTTGGTCTATGCTACATATAAGAGTATGAAAAATACCTGGAAAGCAGAACCCAAAAAGATCACTTAATTTCAACTCAAATTTCAAACAGAATAGAGACAATGAAGAACTAAAAAACAGGGTCTGTTTTTAAAATCCATGGATGACAGAAATTAGGCAAAAGAAGTGCAGAAATAGAGAAGCAGAGGAAAAGCTGCAAAGGAGAGTCACACACGAAGTAATTAGGATTCCTGGACTTGCTTACCGCATATTCCTCTGGTGTGACCTTTAGAACATCAAATACCACTGCATCAAAGCTCTTCTTCAGTTCAGCTGAACCCTTGTCACTCAAGGACTCGGAGCTGCTACTCTTCTGCAGAAACAAAAAAACACTGAGGATGTTTTGGACCTGTCCTCTTCTTTTTGTCTTCTCTTTTTTACACTCCCAAAAGCAAAATTTCTGTCCAAACGTCATTGTTCACAAAATTTTTCTATTGGGTAAATTTAGTCACAGAACAGACTTTTTCCTGATGTGGACTGCAAGAAATCAGATCTTCAAAGTACTATCTGGATTTCTCCAGGAGGGTTTGGACACTTCTCCAGGGATGCACAGGGTGGGATTGTTGGGGTGGCTAACACAATCAAGGCCCTTTCTGACAGTCTGTGCCATTTTGCTGCTAATGCTGCAAGCTTTCAAGACTGTGGACATGGGTCCTTGAGAATTCAGCCAGTTGAAATAAACTCATGTCCATTTTCAAGCACTTTTGTTATAAGGGCACATTATGAAGAAAAAGCTTATTTAATAATTATGTCCACTTTTAATTAGATTCTGACATTACAATCTCTCTGAAAAATCTGCCTTTGAAAACGCCACCAAAAATTTGATACCAGACATGCATTTTCAGTAACTAGTATGCTTATAGAAACATTTCAGTTATAAGTCCTCTTTCCTACTTCTTAGTCAAGCTAGAAAAAAAATATCACTTGCTTAAAGTAAATTAATATAATTTTGCCAAAATATATTTTGCTCAATTTCATCAGACATCACATAAACATTCAAGACTATTCTGCTGACTAAAAATGTTGCTTTCCTCCAAGATAATTTTTCAGGTGCACGCCAAAAAACAGTCAATGATTCATGAAGCAATTATAAGGGGAGTACAAGAATCTATATAAAAACAAACAATGATCTTTGGAGACTGATGCCAGCTTTCTTGACAATAGTTGTGTAATTATGGTGGAGATTATTTGGTTCCTTTTGGTAATGCTAGACTCCAATTTTCCTTTCACCTTGTTTGTGGTACTCCCCATTTCCATATGCAAGTGCATACCACACAGAACTGCTATCAAAACTCATCTGTAAACATGAAAATAAACATGGTTCAGTGCAGAGATTCATGGAAGGAAGCAACTTCAGTCAGGACTTTGTGGCTCTCCTCCCTATTGACTTCATAGTGTTCTAATTTCAGCCCAAGCCTCTTCCTTAACAAGCAGATGACAAGTGGAAAAATACATTCACTTCAAACTAAGAGGCACCAGCAGATGAGGCCAATCTCCACTGCTTGGCTGATGCACACACTCAGCTCACAAGCTGTTCATTTCTAGAGGGCAGAAGCTTTGATGGGCAGGAGGGACCCCCACCTACGCCAGAATATAGTCCAAGAGACAAAGGGAACAACTTTATTCCACTGCTGCTGTGTCAGACTGCTCCTCAGTACACACACACAAGTACCTGTCAAAAAAAAGAACATTTCCCACCGGCCTTGCCAAGCTAGCTTAATGTGCTAAGAGTGTCTATTCTTGTTAAAACTTGAAAAGAAAAGCTTCCTTGTCTAGATGTGATGGAAGAGAACACGGAAAAAAGTCAGCTTTGGCTATGGTATATGCAAGTTCATGCTCTATTTCGGTATGCCAAGTTCAGGACTTTACATTTTTTTCACACTAAACTGGGGTGTATGAAACCAACACACAGAACAAGAATCTGCTGGATGACAGCTGTTAAAAGAAAAATTCACATTTTAGTGCACTTAAAGTAAAAACTGAGTACTCAGTTAGCTGAGGTTTCCAGTCCTTACCTCTGAAGCAGTAGCTGCAATGTTAACACCACTGGACTGTCCGTTCATTAGCTCCATACTGCCCACACCATTAATCTTCGGCCCTACATTTACAGCAGCAGGATCATCTCCAAGGCAACCCAATAACCATTCCTACAAAGAGCAAAAAGGTATCAGAAACCACTTTCTGCAGGGGTTTTCATCAAGATTCAGTGCCTAAAATCGTTAACAAAATAAAGGACTTCCAAAATGGCTACACCACAGAGATCCAGACTTCAGATTCTAACCTGTATTTTAAAATTACCTACTTAAAACCAACATAAGCAACTGAAGGTTCCATTAAGATCCATCAGTCACTGGCAGTATTGACTTACCATATTATTTTCCCCTATTGTTTTCTCTATGCCAGGAATCAATATGAAAATACATGCAGTAGCCCTAACAAATTGAGGTCTGCAACACCAGTTCATATATTCTACTTTTTCTTTTATTACCAGCTTTAAAAAGTGTATTCCAGTATATCAGGTAACTTTAAGTTATTATCTAATCACTTCCTGTCTTATAGGACTCTTCACTAGCTTTAAGCAAAAATTATTACACTGAAAGCAATTAAAAGTAAAAATGGAATTTATACTTTTCTCCACAAATGACCCAAACTATTGCCTAGTAAAAAAACTTCAAATAGAAAAAACACACAAAGTTGTGTGAGTTGACACTTCTGACTTCCATACACTGACTTCTAATGCATCCTTGCATGAATACTATGACTTTCATTTCTGCAGAGAAAAGGCTGCAAAGAAATGGAAGCCTTTGGCATCCACTATAAAAAGAGTAAGACTACCTAACCACAGTGTTACAGAGTAAAAATTGGTTTGTGCTTAAATTAATGAGCTGTTAGTGCCCTCTAGTGTGAAAACGATTATAAATCAGCTTTCATGGATCTATGTCTATAGCACATGTGACTGCTTTCAAAGTTGCTGCTGTTTATTAAATTCACTTTTGGTTTGCAGTTTAATTCAGAGCTATTGCATGGTCTGAAAACAAATGGAGAGTGACAGGTAACTGGGTAATTCCACATGACAAAACAGTTTTACAGCAGCTCATACTTAATGCCTCTAAGGAATGAAATAAAATAATCTGAAAAGCTGTATCTCCAAGTGACCTAAACCAAGTATGTCAGACAGAAAATCCTGGAAGGCAAGAAACTGCAGTATTTAAATAAGAAAATATCCTTAAAAAAACCAGCAATATTTAAGTAGTAAAACATCCTCAAATTTTAAAGCATCACCATAAGAATTCAATGCAGAAAGGAAAGCAATTAATGAGAGCAATATGACAAAAGTCAGTCAAACACTACTGGTATTTCTGAGTATTACCAGTCCCATCTGAGCTGCGTTTCTGCAGCTCAGGACACCCACATTCCACCCTTTGTTGTTTTGGGGAAACTGACAGAACTCTCTCATTCACAGGAAAGAGGATGCTACATTTCACTTCAATGTTACACTCCCAGTCCATGTGCTTTAATTAACACTGATTCCTCCACTGAAAATGCATTCAGCTGCACTTTAGCTTTAAATTACAGACCACATAAAGGAAAAAATCTCATCTCTGGCTTCACTGCTGTCCTGTCCTTCCCCATCTCAATTACCCTTCAGATTGTCTTGTGGAATATTGCCAAATGCACAGCTCCCCAGTGCCTCTCCTGCAGCTTTTTCATTTACAGAAGGGAGAAGCACAGAAATAAAACTCTGATGTGTTACAAGTTTCATTTATGTGGTGACAGTAGAGGACAGAGCTATCACATCTCAACACCAGTTTCAGGCCCCCCCACATGCTCAAAATGGTACATTTATCCCAAAGTAATCTCTGCTAAAAAACCCCTACCCTTTAAAAATGTGGGGGTTTTTTTAACCACTGTATTTTTAAGGAAAGTTGAAACTTTGGCTTTGCATGATACAGTTATGGAGAGTATGACAAAATTGTGTAATCTTAATTTAAGGTTATATATTTTACCCTCAGCTCACATCAGCTTCAATTGTTCCCCTTCCCCATATTAATGGGAGGCAAAAAGGGAAAGAATTAGGAACGTCCTTCTGTGAAGGAAAAACAAAAACCTGAGCTCTGGGGGCTTTTTTTGTGGAGGTATTTGGATGGTGCTAATTAAAAGCAATTACACATATCATAGAAGCCTATGGAGTTGGCAGCTCAGCCTCACATTAACAAGAGCAAATTAATTCCTCTATCAGCAAATGCTAAAGCCCAGTTTCCTCAATGACTCCTCTCACATAACTCACAGGAACTCCTCCCCATATTTCCTGACAGACTTTCCACCTCACAGGATCTGCCTGGAAGGGACAGCACACTGATCCAAATTTTCCTCCTCTACCTGGTTACTGTGATGGGAGTTGAGAGAACTCTGTCTCTTAGTTAGGTGCGGCCCACCATGCTGATAAGTGACTTCTAGGAGGCACACAAACATTGTTTTTTTCTATCAATTTTTTTAATAAGCAGAAAATCACTTAGGAAAAAACCCTCCATCCAAAGGAAATGGAGTTTACAAAATATAACGTCTACCATCAAGCTGTATCCTAACAAAGCTGTCCACACAATGATAATTTTGTGTCCACTGCTGCATTACAAGGGTATGTCTGAATATATTTATACTTTTTCACACTTTGTGGATACACTAAGGAGCTGAATTAGCACTGAACTGCTGTAAATACATATATTTATCAACTTTAAAGTTCCAGAATTGGCAACCTTCACAATGTTCTCATGCCTAGCAGCTTTCAAAAGTACATCGCCACTGCTGTGACAGGAACATTCACAGCAACCGTTTTGGTCAATGTGCCACATGATACAAATATTGGAAAAATCCTCACACTGGAATAACTAAATCATTTGCTTGCTATACTATCCTTCTGCTCAACACCAAAATAATCAGTGAACAGCAATATCAGAAAGTGATCAAGAGCAGAAAAGTTCAGAGCAGCACAGCTGGGTCTGTGGAATGACTGTCACCATACTGCAATAGTGAGTCATAGTGCTCACTGCCTACCTTGTATATCCAATTACCAAAACGGAATTACACTGAGTAATTTGAACTCCCAGTCAGTTTCTCCTCTCTAATTCAACAAGTGCCTTTGTGCTCAGAAATGAATTACATGTGGAACTGAGAGTGTTCCCTATGATGCACAAACACCCAAGCACTTATGCCAGCCTGAAGCCTTGACACACTGTGTGGTATCTTCCTACCATGCCATTCATACTGCACAGTAGAAAGCAAACTAAAAATACTGATACAAATATTCATCACACCCAAACAATGAAAATATCTAGACTATTGCTGTGGTTTAGCCCCAGCCAGCAATTCAGCCCCATGCAGCCAGTCACTCACTCCCCCACAGTGGATGGGGGAGAGAATCAGCAGAATAGAAGTGAAAAATCTCATTGGTTGAGATGGAGACAGCTCAGTAGGGAAAGCAAAACCTGGGTGCTCAAGCAAAGCAAGGAATTCATTCACTGCTTCCCATGAGCAGGCAGGTGTTCAGCCAGCCCCAGGAAATCAGGGTTCCATCCCGTGTAACAGTGACTTGGAAAGGCAAAAGCCACTCCAAATGTCATCCCTTCCACCTTCTTCCCCCAGATTTATATTATTATATATATGACCCAGAATTACCCTGTTGGGGTCAGCTGTCCTGGCTATACCCCCTCCCAATTTGTTGTGCACCCCAGCCTCTTTGCTGGTGGGACGAGGAGCAGAAAAGGCCTTGACTCTGTGTAAGCCCTGCTCAGAGTAACCAAAATATTGCTGTGGTATCAACACTGTTCTCAGCACAAATCCAAAACACAGCCCCACACTAGATACTGTGGAGAAAATGAACTTCATCCCAGCCAAAGCCAGCACAGCTAAGCGGGGTCTGCTGCCTTCAGTGAGTTTTTCTGCAAATTCACCCAAGGCTGTGCTGCTGCTCCTTCCCATGCAGGGACCGAGCTGCAGATCGCCCCAAAGGGAGGGCAGCTCGGGCAGCAGCAGGGTGTGCCCGAGCACAGCTGCTGCAGAGCCGGCCTGATCTCAGCACAAAGGGGAGCAGAGAGTGCCCTTTGTTTCACATAAACAGCTCAGTCAGACCCACTGACTGCATCCCAGCTGAGGGAATCAACTGGCGCTGGAAATGCTTCTCCCCGAGTTCTTTGTTACAAGTGTCTCCCGGGGTTAGCTACAGCAGCACGGGGCAGCCGAGACGTGCCTCTAGAAAACCGCAGAACCAAGGAATTTCAGAGCTTCAGCTGGCTCCAACCCACGTATTCCTTCCTGGTGTCACCAGCATCGTGACAGTGAGCACACTCCAGATCACACACCGCTACTGTGCTGAAACTGTATACTGCAATTGCTGGAGTTTGCTAGGTTGAACTTGCATTTGTATCGTGATTTCAGTGTATTTTCTATCACACTGCTAAATCAGAAATCCTCTCTAACATCAGCTATATACAAATGGTTAATCTAGCATTAAGCATTACACCCTCCATGTGTGGAGTGTCTGGAAGAACCTGAGCAGACAGTACTGGACTCTCACAGACATCTAACAGAACACTTACGCCTGACTCCCTTCCACAGCAGATGTTCTTGGCTCAGTTTGGGTCAACACTGTCCCAAAATACTGTATAAACAGCATTTTAAAAGACAACCCTAAAACTACATTTGAAACTTCCTGCCCAGAACAGTACAGAAGCTTTGAGGAAACAAACACTGAAGTTTTAGGAATAGCTCAAGAGTCAAGATGACCAATATCCAATTTGTTCTTAATTCATAATGTCAGTATACAAAGTGTCATTTGTTTTGATCACAGATCCCCATTAAGAAAACAAAAGTGCCTTGCATGGATCATCATTAACTATAAATGCAGAGCCACTATCAAAGACTTCAGGGACCAAAAAAATCTGTTTCAAACACAATGAACCTCAGCTCCCGATTTTGTGGAAACTAGAGAGTGCAGGGAAACTTACGGTCTAAAAGGTAAAAGCGGAGACAACTGCTAAGACCACAACGAAAAAAAGTAAGAAACCAAACAGACTAAAAAAAAAATTCAAAGCACACACTCCACACCTAAAGAAGAAGACCCAACGAACATAAAAGCTCCACAATGAAGCGG